ATACAGTACCTCAGCCAGTTGACCAAGATTAACCTCAAAAGCAGTTAAGTCACAACGATAGTATGTACCGTTAATATGGGTTGAAAGTCACACTTTACCTCTGTGACATTCTCTCCAAAATCCATAACCCCAATCGAAATCATGAGGAAAACGTAAGACAAATTCAAACAAGGGACATCCCACACATCTAATCAGGATGCCTCAAAACTGTCAAGGTCATCAAAAATTCAAGGAGAGTCTGGGAAACTGTCACAGCCAAGAGGAGTCTAAGGAGTTATGCTGACTAAAAATGTAAAGTGGCATTCTGGATGGGATCCTGGGGCAGAAAAACAGTAGGTAACAAGTAAGGAAATACGAGTGAAGTTATGGACTTCGGGTAATAATAATGTACCAGGATTGATTCACTTCCATGAACATACCATACTAATGAGTATCAGTAATGGGGGAAATTTGGTGTGTGGTGCATGGAAACGCTCTGTACTATCTTGGTGATTTCTACAAACCTCAAACTTCCCTAAAATAAAAGGTTTATTTCTTAAAAGCTTATTTAAAAAAATTACATAGCAGGACAGATATAACAAAAAGCTTAGCTAGATGCAATTCTATAGTTATAAAAAATAGCTTCTGCCATAATTGGTGTTTTAGTTTCCTAACGTTTGTCAAAATGTTAAGTATTTTAGTTCAAATAAATTGGAAAAGAAAAAAGGTCAGGGCTATTACACACTTACTTAGCGAGTCTTCTTTTTGTCTTTTGGTTAAACTAAATGTCTGGTTAGGTCTGAAACATAGTTAACAGTTTCCAACTGCTTACAGAATCAAATCAAAAGTCCTTACCATGGCCTAGGTAAAATCCTACATAATCCGGCTCCCACCTACCTGCTTTGGCTTCATTTTATAATTTTATTTTTTATAAACATATATATATATATATTTTTTCCCCCAGGGGTACAGGTCTGTGAATCTCCACGTTTACAAACTTCACAGCACTCACCATAGCACATACCCTACCCAATGTCCATAACCCCCCCCAACCCCCCTCTGCCCAGCAACCCTCAGTTTGTTTTGTGAGATTAAGAGTCACTTATGGTTTGTCTCCCTCCCAATCCCAACTTGTTTCATTTACTCTTCTCCTACCACATTAACCCCCCATGTTGCATCTCCTCTCCCTCATATCAGGGAGATCATATGATAGTTGTCTTTCTCCGATTGACTTATTTCGCTATTTGGCTTCATTTTATATATTCTCCCTGCTCTTTTCACTGATCATGGAGCCACACGCTCTCTGTTCTCAAATCCTAGTAAACCTCGGGGCTTTCACTCTGTTCTTGACTGGTATGTTATTTAACGCTGGGTAGCAAACCATCCCCAACACTTAGTGTGGCTTAATACAACTTAGGATGCTCTGAGTCGGTTATTTGGGCTGGCTCACCCGGGACACTCATGGAGCTGTGGTCTGCTGGCAGCTAGCAGGGCGGGGGGTGGCTGCTAAGTCACGTCTCGTGGTTAGTGCTATTTGCTGATGTTTTTCTAGCAGGCTTTTTCAGGCGCCTGCAGCAGGGGTTCCAGAGGGAGAGAAGCATTTGTTTGATGAAAGCAGATTACAAGGCCATTCCATATTCAAGCAGTGGGAACAGACTCCATCTCTGATGGAAGGAGTCACAAATATGTAGACATTAAAAATCTACCATATGGATGATGCTTTTCCTGAAAACTTTCCAGAACTGTCAACCCTTAAAAATAATTTCTTCAAAGAGGCCTTTCCTAACCACTACATTTAAAGTAGCTTTTTGCCCTCCCTTCCCCATCTCTATTTCATTTCTTGGTTTGATTTGCTGTCATTACAATTATCCGTTATTTCATTGAGCAGAAACGTACCCATCTTTGTTTTTTCGGCACACCAGGGTTTAACAGAAACTGGAAGAACAGTGCACTTCAGTAAAAAGTGCTTTAGTAAAAACAATGAAAACAAATTTTGTCTTTTCTGTCCAGACCAAAAAATGACCTATTTTTTAAAATTCAAGGTAGAAAGTAAGCTGAAATGTTTCAAAGTAGTTAAATTTAGGGCTTCAGTCTCCAACATTAACATCCCAGTTTAGAAGTGTACTTTTTAAAGATCACCCCAGACACAATAATCCTTCAATTGAACCTCTGGTTTGCTCCAGCGTGTAAGAGAGCTCACTCTGGATAAGGTTCGAGGGACCTGTTCCCATCTGTCAAAGTATAGCGGCAGTCACTGTGGCAGCCCCAGCAGGCCTCAGGCTGTCCAAACACCTGACCACTCTAGCCCATCGCCGCCTCACAGCGGGGGCCCTGAGACGTGGCCAGACGACCAGCATCATGCTGGATCCCAATCAATCCTCATACAGAAGGCTGTACCATATAAAGCATAACACTTTTCCGCCATATACTCTGCTCAAATAAAAAGAGATCAAGTCATTACAGAACATTTTTCCATTTTATTTTTTTATGAATGACAGACCTACTCAATCATTTTATTCAGTTTATTTAAATAAGGATAAGGCTACTTCAAAGACCTTTTACATACAAAAATGTACATTACAAGGTTGAACTTTCTGTACTGAATTACAAAACCTGCACAAGCATTTAATAAAAGAGCACACTTAAAAACATTTTGACCATTTTGTAGCCTCTAAAAATTACTGAAGTGGCGTAGTAAATAGAGGAAGCTCTTACATACATGTGATTTAATCTACTGGCAGTTTTACTTAATGTAAGTTTTTAAAAAGGTCATTGCTACTGAGTGAGTCTCTAGACCAGTTTTAGAATCCTCTCTCAAAACTTAAGTCAACCAAAATATTGTTTCAAATAATAATTACAATTCTGAAGAATTTTAATTCTAGCAAAAATATTATGGCCTCCTAGTAGCAGTTGAACCAACTTTCCAAATTGCCTGGTAGCTGTCAAGATTACTAAAGCTATTATGGTTAACTGTACTGCCTTTACAGCCACGGGGAAGCAATTCAGGGCCTTTGGTGCTGCAGGGGCTTGAGATTTCCAGAATTCACACAGCAGTCTATGATCCCTCAAATGTAAGAGGACCAGGGGTCATCCTATCCTCACTCCTCAATGAATGCATGGGGCCAAGAATTATGACATGCAAACCTAAGCCTGACGCTTAGGGTCTGCAAAAGGAGGATGGAGAATGGAAGCAGACTAAGTTAAAACATGGGAAAGGAAAACAAGAAAAAGAAAACGGGCCATGAAGGAGAAGAAAAGAAGACCTCTGCCAATGGCAGGAAGTGGTAAAGCGCCTATAACTACACCTCAGAACCTACTTGCTGACCCGACCGCTTAGCTGTCTACTGAGATAATAAAACAGGTGGCTCTGTTGGAACATGAAATCAACAGCAACAACATTAACCCATGTTCCTAAAATTCATCGACGGTATTCTAAAGTTGTCTGCCACTCCAATTGAGTCCTTCCAAACTTTAAAGCACACCAAAGCAACCCTTCAAAACCCAAGATGCTCGACACTTCTGCTTCAGATTCCCCTCATTCAGGAGGCATCATGACGTGGAGGAAGACATTTCAAGACAAGCTGTATCTATGCCCCTCGAGAAGGCACAGTGCTCCAAGATGTCAGTATTATGGAATACACAGTACGTGGTTTAGCACTTCTCCACACTCAAACTCAAAATAGCTCAATAATATGCTGCTCTATGAGCATTGATTCTGAATGTTCATAATATAAACTTCAATTTGAAGCAACAATGTTACACAGTTCAGCTGTTATTACCAACCTACTCTGTAAGTTAAATATACAAATTAAAAATTAATTTTATTGAGTAACTAAAATAAGTTTCCACTGACTTAAAACCGTCAAATGGCTAACTCTCTCTTAACTAAGAGAGGAATGCAGATGAAAGCAGAAGGGACAACTGAATTATCAAATAGAATTTGTCATCCTACCCTAAAATCTGTACTTTTAAAATATCCCTTAATATACAGTTATGTAAGAGGGTTACTGTTGTCCTTCAATAATATTACACATATCAGCCGTGCAGTTAACTCTATTATTCACTCACTTGGCATAACATCAGTAATTTATGCAACACATAGTATGTATCGATTTTGTCTTATCTGTACAGATTTATAGTCTAGATAAAGGCAGAATGGCTAAAAACTGGAGGGTTCAAGTTTTAGTACAGTATTTACCTGCCAGGCTGAATGAATTTTTTGTAAGGCTATTTAATAGCGGAACTAAAATACCTGTTTTAACAAATCAGAAGAGGAAGGAGACTGCTGTAAAAAGTTAATGAAAAGGCGAACCCCAATGTGAAGATCAGTCATAAAAGGAAAAAAGTATAAAGTATCCTCCACACTTGGTTAGAAATACAAGGCAAAAAAGTGGACAGGAGAACGTGTGGCTAGAAGGTCTACTGTATGTTCCCACTGACTTCCTTCAGACTGGGACGGTAACACTGCTTTAACATGAACACAAAAGCTCCGTGGGTGATGTGTGTGCGGCAGCCCTGTGGGAAGCGCCTGTTACCCCAGCAGGGACCCCCGTCCGGCTGGTACTTGTCTCCTACGAGGTCACTCTGCAGTGACTCCCGGCTTCAGCATCTCCTCTTCTGCCTACTCCAGATCATGCTAAGCGTCCCACCTCTCACCACTATCCCCCCTGGACTCTCTCAAGTGCTGGGACTCCATCCCTCTCCACCTATTTGCCAAACCTTCTGCCATAAGCTACCACCTCGAACATGACTACGTCACCTAAAGATTTTAAAGTTGGCTTCTTTTGGAAAGGATGAAGCTCCTAGGAAGGAGTGACACCTGAGCTCCCAGAGCAGGATCAAGGACTGCTCATGAAAATAGTGAGGAGTGCTGCATGACAGGGACCTCTTAAAGGGGGGACCAGCTGTGAGCCTGACCAGTCAATTCCGTTACAACTTCAAGGGAAGGAGCAACAGCAAGCACTGATTTCCCTTTTTGGTTTTTATGGGGAAAAGTAATGTAAGCACTTCAAGAACAGCAATTTCATCTGTATATTTGGAATAGTTTATTGGCAGCACTACAAATATGCTTCTCTTGGTGAACCTTAAGGAGGAGTTTGGCAGTATTTACTAAAATATTGGGATAAACTGTTAAATTCTTTTGCTAGGGAAAATAAATAAAAATTGCGAACTTCTAAAATATTTTGGGTTTAAACAAAAATCTCAAATTCCCCCAAACACTGAAACAGAGTAATTAAAATAATTCCTAAAATTCATCAGATGCTTTATATCAGACTTGCAGCTAATGATTCATTGGGATCAATATAAATGACTTACACTAAGTCACCTGGTTTAAAAAGAAATTTTTTCCTAGTAAGGGCACAAAAGGCAAAAATTAAAAAAAAAAAAAAAAAGAAGGGGAAAGGAAAGACTGTATTTTTCAAACCTAATTTTAAACCTCTTAAGAAAATTCCACAATAATCAGGATCTCCGTAAATACTGTCAATATATGCGAACTTGCTTGAAAAACTACAGTTACAGTTATATTTACATTTTTGGAAACTTTCCTTCAGGGCCATGTAACATGCTGTATCTTCCTCTTTGTTTCTGGGGGCTTCAGGTTATTCTGAAAAGACATGAACAGAAACCAGTGTACACTTACAGAAATGTCAGAGGATAGCTTGAAATGAGCACTTGAAACCACCGCAGTTTACTACTAATATATGAATGGCAGATCACTGCTGCCATCTGGTGGGAGAAGATTTTAGAAGACTGGGAAATGCACGTCTCGCCTGCCACCCATTTTTTTCCAGCTGTGGTTCTCAAATCTCTGCATATTAGAATCACCCACAATACTTTCAAACATGCCCAGACCTGGGTCTTATCCCAGAACTAACTGAGTCAGAATCCATACAAGGTGGCAGGGATGAGGCTCCGATTTCTGTCTGGGCTTTCTGGAGGCTCCTCCAGGTAATCCTCAAGTGCACTCAGAATTGAAAACGTCTAAGGACTCCAGGCCTCCTTCTTTCCTGCCTACCCCATCGCCTTCCTCAATCTCACAATCCAAGATCTTAATACTAGTAAATTAAAAAAAAAAAATCATACCTCTTAAAGAGTAAAATTTTTCTGAGTAGTAAGATGTGTTTTAAGAGACTGAAAAAAAATCAAGGCTAACTCTTTTATCATAATATTTGAGGTCTAGATTATTCTTCCTACTTTTTTTTTCTCCTTCCCACTCTTCTCTGACACCCTCCTCCTCGGCCCCACAAATATGACTGAAAGAAGTGGAAAGGCAGCTTGGTGCTGATAGAAGCTCATGCAGAGGTCAAATGGGTCTGTATTCAAATAGCAACCTGGCCACTTACTAACTCTGAAACCCTGGACAAGTTTATTTAAACTATCTGAGCTTCCATTTCCTTATCTGTGAAATGAGAAAAAGAACTGTGCTACTGCACAGGGTAGCTGAAAGGATGAACCAATGGAAGAACCAAACGCTGGTCAGATTTACGGTAGTCTTCTTTCTGCTACTATTTTACAATGTTTGAACTACTCTGAGTTTTGATCCCTTTGACATACAATTTGAAGAGTATAATAAAGTCAAAGTATACCATAGGAATGCTACAAACTGAATGCGTGGCCCCTCAAAATTCCTATGTTTACATCTAATCCCCAATGTGACGGTATTAGTGGGTAGGGTCTTTGGAAGTGCTTAAATCACAACAGAGGTGCTCTCATGAATGGGCCCTCAGAAAAGAGACCTCAGAGAGCTTACTTGCCCCTTCTACCACATGAGAACACAGCAGAAAGCAGCCTAGGGTGAATCAGGAAGTGGGTTTTCACCAGACAATGAACCTGACAGCACCTTGATTCTGCACTTGCCAGCCTCTAGAACTGTGGGAAATGCATGTCTGTTGTATAAGCCATTGAGTCAGTATTATTTTTTGTTATAGAAGCCTAAATAGACTAAGACAAGGAATAATATAAAACTGCAGGATGTTTAAAGTAAAACAATTTTCTGAGAAGCCAGGGAAGAATCAAGTATGTATATGTGTGTATATGTATATACATATGTATTTGTACATATAAGTGTATATACATACATATACATGTATATGCCCTCTCACAAATTAAACTCTAAATATATTGCCTATCAGTACCAAATTTGCCAGTATATGAAATCCAAGCATCCAAATGCTTAACTATAATTCAGTCCAACACAGGACACTCCCCTACTTCCCCTATCTCTCCAAGGACAGATAAATTTGAGGGAAGGGGATGTCCATGATAAATTCTGAATACTCTAGTGTGGTTTTAAGGTAAGTATAAAACACACTGAAGGTCAAAATGCTACTGAAAAGATATGTGACTCTGGACAAACTACTTAACATTCTGAGCTTTACTAACAAAGGAATATTTTTCTCTTTTAGTCCCCCAAATGGTTAAAGGATCGGAATGACAAAATACTAGGGAAAGTGCCTAAGACATTTTAAGTAGAAATAAGTTTGGTAGACTTGAAAAAAACATTAGCTTATCATCACGGATTTTATGATTCCAGGAGTCAACGCAAAAAAGGACACAGAAGAGTCAGACCATTAAAGAGTTCAAGAACTGCCTGTGGCCCGGCTCACCCACCCCCACTCCACGAGGCCTCCCCACTCAGAGACTCCATCCCTCTCTCTTACTAGCACAGAAGCCACCCCACACTTACCACAGCCTCAGCTTCTTCTTTAGGGGCCGCTCGCTTTAACTTCACAGGAGTAGCTCCAACAGGGGACAAAGGTGGGGACTTCACAGGACCCAAAGGACTTTTCCTATGCGTTAAGTCATGGTTCTGTTTAGTGTCATTATTATTGTGTTCCATTTTATTGTTCATAGGCAAATTGGAAGACAGAATTAGGGGTGAAACACTTGAAGAGGAATTTGACAATTTTCGAAAGGCATTACTGGTAAAGCTTGCCTGAGGGGGAGGCCTGAGCCGGTCATTATCGCCATTCTCTGTCTTTCTCACTTTGATGCTTGTACTTGTTGAACTTCCATCAAACACGATGAGGGGTCTTTTCCTTAACCCATCTACAGTGCTAGTCCTGAAATCAAAGAGATAAATTCTTGAAAAATACCATCTGCAATGCAAACCAGTCTGCAGGAACTCAAAAGTAAAACAATGACCGGAAAACATTTACTGGTAAGACTCATCTATTTTAAGGAGGACTCCTAGGAATGAAATTTTCTATGTTCATCCTAAATGAAGTGACAATTTTCTGATGTTTAAAGTATAAAATATTTATTGACAAGAAGCTTAAGTTACCTTTAATGTACACACAAAATGGATTTTTTTTAACATCAACCAACCAATTAACCCTAGAACTTAAAACAAGATTTCCTAGCAACTAAAAAATTTTAAGTTTTAAAAATCACCCCATCTAATTGATAAGGTTACCTTGACTATTTATCAGTTATTATTTTAAAAAGATAATGAACTATTAATAAGACTATAGCAAAACTACCACAGTGACACTCTATAGACAATGAGAATATTCTATTCTATTTATCAATAGTCTCTAACGCCAAGGCACTCTCTAAATTCTAACTATAGTATTTGTGTAATGTTAATTTTAAAATTTGGCAAGTCTTCATGGTTAGATTCTGCAAAACCTAACTTCCACTCTGAATCATAAAGATAAATAATAAAAACATTCAGTTGTCTACTATTCATTAAACCTCAAGTGAAACAACAGATTGGAAAGAAAAAACTTTTAGTTAAACATGTAACAAGAACTTGAGCAGTCAATTACTAGGAAGAACACTTCAGCCTTGCTACGCAAAGTGTGGTCAAGGGACCAGCAGCGTAAACATCACCTTGGGAGCCTGTTATGAAATGCAGAATCTGGGGCTTCAACCTGTCATTTTAACCAGATCCTAGGTAACTGGCCAAACTCACCAATTCGAAGGTTATCACTGAACATCATCTGGTAGCAGATACAAATGACTTTCCTACATACACTGTGCCACTGCCAAAGGGAAACAGAGGGCTCATCAGAGAAAGCAGGGCTCATCAGCTTGTGAGAGTTCAACCCAAGATCCCAGAGGCATGCTGAAGTTTGGGAAGCACTGCACTGTTGATCTGGGCCTCGCTCTGTGTGACCTGGGGCATATCACAATACTGCTAATTCAACAATACTGGACAATCTCTTAGATCCTTCCAGCCTTAAGGTTTTGAGTCAAGAGTGAAATTTGTGGGGCACCTGGGTGGCTCAGTGGGTTAAGCCTCTGCCTTTGGCTCAGGTCATGATCTCAGGAACCTGGGATCAAGCCCTGCATCGGGCTCTCTGCTCAGCAGGGAGCTTGCTTCCCCCTCTCTCTCTGCCTGCCTCTTGCCTACTTGTGATCTCTCCATCTGTCAAGTAAATAAATAAAATCTTAAAAAAAAAAAAAAGAGGGAAATTTGTGGTTTTTTTAGAAAGTCACAAATCCGGGGCATCTTGGTGGCTCAGATGGTTAAGTGTCTGCCTTCAGCTTGGGTCATGATCCCAGGGTGCTGGGATCGAGACCCACGTTGGACTCCCTGCTCAGCAGGGAGTCTGCTTCTCCCTCTCCCTCTGCCTGCTGCTCCCCCTGCTTATGCTGTCAAATAAACACATAAAATCTTACAAAAAAAATCATAAATCCTTTTGAAAAGGATACTGAGGAGCTTAAAGAGATTATCATACGAAGTAACAGTATTAAAGCTTTGCTTAGGACAATATGCATGAACATGCTGATCAAGAAGAAAATACTTTCTTAAGAATCAACAAAAGTAAAAAAAAAAAAAAAAAAAGGAATCAACAAAAGTAAGGGGTACCTGCTGGGTGGCACAGTCAGTTAAGCCGCCAATTCTTGGTTTTAGCTCAGGTCATGATCTCAGGGTCCTGGGATGGAGCCCATCCGCCTATAGGCTCTACACTCAGCTGAGGGTCTGCTTCAGGATTCTATCTCTCCCTCTGCCCCTCCCCATCCCACCACTCACTCAAGCCCTCTCTCTAAAATAAATTTTTTAAAAAGATGAATCAACAAATGTAAACCGAAGATGTATTTGGCATAACCACAGATTTACAAAAGCTAACACTAATATGCAGCCCATACCACTATATAACCATCAAGCTAAAATGATGTTTAATTTGAACTGAATGTGTTCCTGATCAAAAGAAAGACCATTTTCCCAAAAAAACTATGAACATACATGTTACATTCTTCAACTATTTTCATACCTGGGGAATACTCCCCCTACCAATCATGAGTTCTTCTTTGTAACTAGAGATTAACACCCCTCATCAACTCGGAGCCAGCATTCGCCCTCACGCCCAGCCCTCATTCCACCTTCTCCCACAATCACTAGTGCGCTGCCAATGACAGTACCGTATAAACAGAAGGGTCTAAAAATAAATTCAGTAATTAATCAATAGCGCCCACTTGTGATAAAACAGACACAGGAAAAGAAATAACTAGCCCATTCAAGGATCTTAGGACACTTTGTCCTCATTAAACCATCTATCACTGTTACAGAAACATAACCATTTAAGAAAGAAATTCATTTGCTTGTGGTTTTATGAAAAATTTTCTGAAATTTAAAAATCTTAGTGTCGGGGCGCCTGGGTGGCTCAGTGGGTTAAAGCCTCTGCCTTCGGCTCAGGTCATGACCCCAGGGTCCTGGGATCAAGCCCCGCATCGGGCTCTGCTGAGCAGAGAGCCTGCTTCCCTTCCTCTCTCTCTGCCTGCCTCTCTGCCTACTTGTGATCTCTGTCTGTCAAATAAATAAATAAAATCTTAAAAAAAAAAAAAAATCTTAGTGTCCCTGAAGCTATATGACAGTTCCTTCATTTCTTTATTATTCGAAGACCTTAAAGTCTTGACTCCACATTTTCTCACAATTCAGCAAATCTTGTTGGCTCTACCTCCAGACTCCAGCCACTTCTTACCAAGTTCCCTACTTCAGTTGAAGTTCCCACCATTTATCACCTGGATCACAGTACAGCCTCCTGATTGATTTTCCTGTTCCCTTCCCCCTACCTTAAATCACTTTGTACTGCAGCCAGAGTGACGCTATTAAAATGCACATCAGATGATATCACCACTTTGCTCAAAATCTTCCAATGGCTTCTTATCTCACAGCAAAGCCAGAGTTCTTACAATGACTTACAAAGCCTTACACGATCTAACCCAACAAACTCCCCTACTCACCTCCAATAAACCTCTTTTCTCTACTCTCCTTTTGACTCTCTCCACTTTGGCCTTGATGGGCTCTTTATTGTTCTTGGTTTATGATGGGCACACTCCTGGCCCAGGCTCTAGTATTCTGTCTGGAATGCTAGCTTGCTCTCCACCATCTACAGGTTTCTTTACGGAAATGTCATTTCTCAGTGAGGTTGTTCTTAGCCACTTTACCTAAAATGGCAATCTCTCTCCCTGATTTACTGTTCTCCTTAGCATTTATATGTGTCACTATGTAACATACCATATATTTTACCTAATTTTTTAAATTATGTTTCTCCCAATTAAAGTATGAGTAGGGAATTGTTGGTTTTAGTCATGCTATAAGCACAGTGCCTGATGCTCAAATAAATAGTTATTGAGTAAATGAATTTTTCTTACCTAAGTTTATTTTACCTGGAGAAAAAAAAAAGAAAAGCAAAATTGTTAAGTCATATGAGATAAAAACCATAACCGCTACCAAGTACCTTTTAGTCTCATTTTTCATCTCATGTTGCTCTCTTTTCTTTTCCATCATTTTTCCCCACCTATTCTTTGGCAAATCTCTTTGAGGCAACGGAATTGCGTGCTGAACATAAAGATCAGTGAGATTGTCTTTGTTTATTCTGTCATTTTCAACAGCTATGTTCTTCTGTGGAAAAGGAAACAAAAGTAATTTCAAAATAACATCCTTCATGGTAATTACTACTTACCTAATAGGGTAGAACATTCCTGCTTAAGTAACAAATTTTATAATTATAACACTTAATAAGTATCTATTTTATAACTTATTTTCCACAATATAATACTTAACTTATTTTACTTACAATTTAAAACATACAAAATTTAATATAACTTAACTCATAATTTACATTTACAATTCTATAATTATACCATTACTATGTATTTACTGTAATTACAGAATTTGTTATTTAAGTGTGAGTTTATTAATTAAGTCATATAGGACTTATAGGGACTTCAAGTACACTGCAATCCCACATAGTACTGTAAGTAGTATTTCAGAGGTTAACCTCTGCAAATATTAAATTCAGCCTCATCTTAAAAGACAATGGTCATATATTCTCAGTGTGACAAGGACTGCAGTCCACAACTGGTCAGCCAGTCATTAGGCATGGAGACCATTTCCAGTAGCATGGAATCCATGAAGTAAACTGAAAATGGGAGACTTCCTGGGGAAATCAGACCCAAAGAAAAAGCCAACAACGGTAACTATTACTGCATGCTGTCAAAAAGTTACCCAGAGTGTGACTAACATGATCAAAGTAGTGGGCTGGAGGTCTCACCCCAAATACTGTTTCCCACATCTCCCTAATAATGCTCTTAAATTGAAGTCAACTACCAAGATTTCAAACGGCCCTACAGATGGACACTGCAGTCCCCTTACTAATGACTGTACTAAGAGTGCATCATTACAAACTGCCCTTCATATTTTCACCAGTCTTTTCAAGTAGCTTCCAGTCACTGTCCAGCCATCCCTCTCTAAATTACCTTACTCTCCCTCACTTTCCAATTTGCTCTCAACATCATGGAAAACATGCGGCATAAGGAAAAGGAGTAGCTACGATAAAGAGTTGATTTATCTGTGTTCAGTTTAAGTGGCAAATCAAGTCCAATTATGTACTCTGATAAACTTATCCTGATTACTTTTTTCTTCTAAATTTAAAAGTACAAATATTACTTTTCTCTGTTATACTTGACCACCCTTTGTTATCAGTTTTCACCCTCTATTCACTCAGAAATATGAAAAAATCCTGGCGAGTCCCCTGGATAACACTTCCAGAGAATTCATAGGCACCTCAGTTTAGAAGTACTGCTCCAGGGTGGTAGTTCTCGAGCATGGTCCCTGGGCTAGCAGCAAGAAGTTGTTGAAAATGCCAATTTTCAGGCCACGCCTTGGACCTACTGAATCTGACACTCTGGGGATGGAACCTAATAATCTGTAATTTAACACGCTCTGGGGGTGATTCGTGATTCTGATGTGCCTAAAAAGTTTGAAAACCTCAGGGGAAAGGTAACCTCCATAAATCTACTCAGTAGGGCTGAAGGAAATTAGCGAAAGAGTACTAAGGCGTAAACATATGGAAAGCAACAAAATATGGTACTTAAAACCACAAGAAAACTTTCAGTAATTCTCTACCACTTTAAACCAAGTTCATCACTTCTTTTGTCTCGTGTTTTGTTGATTGTGTGAGGTCACATTAGCTCGAAAAGAGGAAATGCCGCATTGAGAGCCAGGAGTCCTGAATTCTCCCCCATTTAGCAACGGTGTGACCTTAAAAAAAAGTCACTTCACTTCTCTGAGAATGAGTTTCATCTTTAAACGAGGTGGGGATATGAACAAAGGGCTATTTCTCCGACGCTTTCCAGCCCTGACAGTCCTTGATTACTATCCTTCATTTCTACTACGATTCCGCCCCCCCCCCCCCGGTCCCCCGCACACATTTAGGCCGCTGGGGTCGCCTAGGACTCCTCTGTCAGAGAAATCAAATACCCAAGAGAATGAGTCCTAATTCTCAGGAATTCCTGATATTCTAAGGACCTCTGTTTCTCGGGGAGAGGTGTGGGGAGACCTGGTCCGTCCGTGTGGAGTGGAGAGTGACACAAACCAGGCGGGAGGGGCGACGGCGGCGGGTGTGTCCGCTTGCCACTGAGGATTACTTGGGGCCAGCTCAAGTCCGAACCCCTCTCCAAAAAGGCCCACCCGTCCCAGCGCGCCCGACCTGCTCCAGGGTGAGGAGAAGGAACTCCTGGGACAGCAGCTCCGGGTGCAGCAGCAGCTCCGAATCCGTGCAGCTGCGACCGCCCACATCCCCCGCCATCGTCGTCGCCAGGAGACCCCGGCCAGCTACCCACAAGCCTCCACGAAAGAAGCGTCCCGGAAGTGACGTGAGGGCGGGGCCGTGAGTGTGACGTCCCTCCTGGTGCGCCGGGCGTCCCTCTACGCATCTGGTGGCGGACCGGCGTGCTGGGACAGATCTTGTTAAGGGAGGACTCCCGGGGCCGAAAGAAGTGGAAGGGACGTCTGCAGAGAAAACGATTGTCGTTTGACTTCTTACAAGAAGAGTCAAGAAAAACGAAGGTCCCGAAGCGGGCCACGATTGGTCGCACTTCCTGTGACGTCCAGGGCAGAGGCCAAAGGGATTCCTAGGGCAATCTCGCGGGAAAGAGGCGGGGCAGCTAGATGTCCTTTACCTCTGTATATGGCACTAGTCGCTTCTGAAATTGCCTTAGTATTTTTTTTTTCAACCTGTTTCTGTGTTTCCTGATACTCCTTCAAGATGATGATCTTAGGCCAGAGACTTTAATTCTTTGTAACCCCATGGCCTCACACATAGTAGGTTCTGAAATATTCCCTGAAGTAATACTCTGAATTAACCTGCTCACGTATGAAAATAATAACAAAACCACCAGTGAAAAGGCCAGGCATTTGTTAGACATTAACGATGTGCCAGGCACTGGATTTAATATGGATAATCTTGCTCCTCAGAACAGCACTATGAGGTATATGTTATGAGAATGTTTTATTTTCCAGGTGAGGAAACTGAGGCATTGGGTAATTTGCTGAAGATCAGAGATTGAGGAAGTAGCAAGCCAGGCACTTAAGTACATTTTCTCTGCTCTTATAACTAATGTGAAGTAACAGTTTAAAACGTATTCTTGTAGGTTTCTGTGATGATATAATCCTTGGCAATTCACCAAGAAATCTCTTCTAGTTCTCTTTCATCTTTCGTGGGAGAGATACACATCCCAAAATATTAGGCACATTTAAAACTTGCAGGCTGGGGGCGCCTGGGTGGCTCAGTGGGTTAAGCCGCTGCCTTTGGCTCGGGTCATGATCTCAGGGTCCTGGGATCGAGTCCCGCATCGGGCTCTCTGCTCAGCAGGGAGCCTGCTTCCCTCTCTCTCTCTCTGCCTGCCTCTCTGTCTACTTGTGATCTCTGTCTGTCAAATAAATAAATAAAATCTTAAAAAAAAAACTTGCAGGCTGTTCTAAGTGTTTACTGTTTGCAACTCTATGAGATGTATCCTCTTACTGGAAGTTAATTGCAGTAAAACATGTGAACAACTCCGAGGATGCTAAAATATAAACCTTGAAGAAGCATTGGAAAATAAGTGAGATGCTAAATCAAAAAGACAAAGTAAGGCTAAGAGGTGTTTTGCAATTTTTCTTTGTCATTTATGTATATGATACTTTATCTATTAATTGACTTTCAAAACTGGGCAGAAACTTCAGTTAGTCTGGTTCTTTCATTTTAGTGTTGAGGAAGCTGACCTGAAAGACATTGAAATGACTTGCCCAAAATAGAACGGAGTTTTAGACCTGAGCTGAGGGAGGTATTTGGATGTTCTAATTTGCAGTTAAGTGCATTAACTTCATGGTATTAGAATCATGGTATTTTATATCCAAAATCTGATTACATTTTCATAACAAAAGTGAAATTCGTGTGGCTGGTATTATCCTCATTTCCCTTTCTAGAAGGCATGTTGTTTTAATGGCAAAAGCAGTTGTCTTAGAAGGAGCCTGGACTTGAAAACTAGACCTTAGTTCAGATTTTTTTCCTGCAGCAAAATGAGACCATGGGTGAGTTACTTAAGTCTCTCAGCCTCAATCTTATCAGAAAAAATTGCTGTGCTAACATCTGTGAAGAATTATCAAAGGAGTACAGATTATATAACACACTTGGCACAGAGCAGGTGCTTATTAACTGGTAGCTGTTTTTATAGAAAGTATTCAACCATAATTATGAGGCAGTCTACAAAACTGGTGAAAAGGGCAGGCTTTGGAGTGGCCCAGACTTGGATTTTAGCCCTGGCTCCAGCACTCACCTAGGACAAATATTTCATGTCTCGCCACTGCAGTGTCCTCACCTGTGAAGTGAACACTGTAAGGCTACCCCACAATGTTGTGAGGTTGGAGCCAGAGGATGTAAAGTGCCTCCTCTGTTGCCACTAACTGGAGATTTGTTGTAGTCTATTGCTAGTCATCAAAGGAAGCAAGTGGCAGGATGGTGGTGTGGGTGGGGGAAGAATTGAGTTTAAGAGTCTGAAAATATGATTTTACATCCTTGCTGTGCTCTTTTACCCTGTGGTTTTCTAGACCAATCACCTAACCTAAAGCCTCAAGCTCTTTTATCAGCAAAAATGTTTTGTGGAAGGTAAGATCTGTTCTCCCCCCACCTCCGCCCCTCTTTGTTAATTTCCCAAAAGTACTTCTCTGCTTTAAAACTAAATCCATTAAGATAATTCCAGTTCCCTCTGAACCAAAAATCTCTAGAGGGAGTGTCTCCTGGGGCAGGAAAAAACATCAGATTCAGAGAGGAGGAAGTAGATTCAAACACAAACACTCCCCAAAGGAAAGAGAGACTATTTGATAAAGCCTGCCCCCACTGCATCCTGGGCAGAGCCTGGGGGAGTGGAGCCTGAGAGAATTTGTGGTCAGGTGACTGTGCTTTAATCAGAATTTCTGATGTAGGAAATTGGGGTGAGGGAGAATTTGCATTTCTAACAAGTTCTGAGGTAATGTTTCAGATATGTGTGGGCAAAAGGGCCACCTCACAGATATTTCTGCCACATCACAGGGCAAGGAAGCCACAGACATTCCTCAACCATCAAGCTAAGCAGTCGCCTTGATTGGCAGGCCTGTCAGCACCGGAACAATGAGACTGAAAACCAAACACTAGAGTGGACAAAGAACATCTCAGAACCCTGTGGGGACCAGTGATGCTAGGACCTGACATCTCCGGCTTCCTTTCTTGGCACTTTAGAAATTCCCGGACCTGATTAACACAGGCCTGGGGAAGAGGGAGGGCCTCTGTTGATAAGATTATTGTCACTGAGGCTGAGTGGGGGCTTGAAAAAGAAATAAAGCTCAGTTATGGAAAAAAATTCTATTTGTTACACATTTGAGTTTGTAGACTGAAGTTCATTCCTGCTACTCTGTTATCTGTGAGTATTCTATAGTAACCAACAGTGTTTATGTTTAGTATTTATAAGAATTTTCTCTTTACTCAAAGATCATGAGGTTTTATTCTTTAACATTTTTATTTGGTGCCGATACTTGAGAAAAACAAACTGAGGGATACCGATAAACACTTCCATGCCTGGCATCATTGCCTCACTAGGTTATGAGTTCCTGTAGGACAGGGTCCACACATTTACTTTGAATCTCCCATCTGGTTAGTAGCACACAAGATGCTTGTATTTAGTAGGTACTCGGTAAATGTTCAATGAATGAGTCATGAATAAAATATGTACTGATGACTTTGGGTGTTGATTCTCTTTGTTGGTAGTGTAATATTTAAGATAGTTATGTTATGAATATTTTAGTATTCTCAAAAATATATTTGAGCATAAATAAAATTAAGAACTTCAGGGCGCCTGTGTGGCTCAGTGGGTTAGGGCCTCTGCCTTCGGCTCAGGTCAGGATCCCTCGGATGGAGCCCCACATTGGGCCCTCTGCTCGGTGGGGAGCCTGCTCCCTCCTCTCTTCTGCCTGCCTCTCTGCCTACTTGTGATCTCTGTCTGTCAAATAAATAAAATCTTTAAAAAATTTAAGGAACTTCAAAGTGAATATAACAGTTTGAAGAGTTCTTCACATTTTTGACCTGGGTTTTTAGGTGTTTAGAACAACAGTTCTGCTTCAAGTTTCAAATAACTACTTTCAGTGCCACAGTAATAATTAATGGTTATGGGGCATCTGGGTGGCTCAGTGGGTTGAAGCCTCTGCCTTCGGCTCGGGTCGTGATCCCGGGGTTCTGCGATCGAGTCCCGCGTCGGGCTCTCTGCTCGGCGGGGAGCCTGCTTCCTCCTCTCTCTGCCTGCTTCTCTGCCTACTTGTGATCTCTGTCTGTCAAATAAATAAATAAAATATTTAAAAAAATAATTAATGGTTATATTTTTATTACCATTTCTTATTCTTTTTACAATCAGATCATAATAAAGATGCATTTGTGGACTTCAACTACTCTTCCATAGGTAATCCTTTCATGAGCTTCTTGAAACATTGTTTTGTCTTTGGGTTCTGGGTACCCAGCAAAATGCTTCGAACACAGTGTGAGACCAGTAGCATACACTGAATGAATATGAGCAAACCTTTTCTGATTCTCAGGCACTTCCTAACTCAGCTCCCCTGTGACCAAACTTCTAGAGCACATTACTTTTTGCCTTAGGATCGTATTAGGTGGGTCTTTCTTTCACATGTTCCACTAAATCGGGGGTTTTCAAAATTGAGTGATTATTAGGGTCAGCTGGAGAGCTTGTGAAAAACTCTTTGCTGGGTCCCAGCCCACAATTCGGATTTAGGAAGTTTGGAGTAGGGACATGGGAATTTGCATTTGCAGGTTCTGAGATGATGTTGATATTGTTGATTATTGACCATACTTCATAAACCACCGCACAAAATTAAGTTGCTTGAGGGCGGGGGCTAGGTCTTCCTCATTTCAGGATCCCCAGCAGCCTCTGCCATAGTACCTGGGACATGGGAGTAGCTCAAGAAATAGTGGACTTGGGGGCACCTGGGTGGCTCAGTGCGTGAATCCTCTGCTTTCAGCTCAGGTCATGATCTCAGGATCCTGGGATCAAGCCCTGAATCGGCCTCTCTGCTCAGTGGGGAGCCTACTTCCCCCTCTCTCTTTGCCCCTCTGCCTACTTGTGATCTCTCTCTCTCTCTGTCAAATAAATAAATGAAAAATCTTAAAAGAAAAGAAATAGTGGACTTGAATAATAGTTCAAAGTTTATTTTACTGAATCTAGATTACAGGTATATGAATATATGTACATATATCCTTAAATGAGCTAATACATGTAAAAGCTCTTAAAATATGACATGTAGTGAACTAAGTTTGCTTAAAAAATAATAAATGTGACCTTTCTTTGCTTGACTTCAT